GGTTCCTGTAGGACTCACCCTCTTGGAGCTGCCTTCAGGGATCCTCATGGTGGTCATGTCCCCAGTCTTCATGGTACAGGATCCTTCAGGAGAAAATAAAGTCCTTTAATATTGTAGCGAACAAAACTAAGGTAAATACAGTCATTATTATGTTGTGTTGACACTTATGGCTACAGCAGCTGGACCAATAACCGTGTACTGTACTGTACTGTACTGTACTCAGTGTATGTACGTCACTTGTGGTCGTACTTACGTCCGGGTGAGGTGGTAGTGGCGGGGGTGGTGGTAGAGGAGGGCGGCGTGGGCGGGGGCGTGGGCGTGGTGGTGATGGCGACGTACACGTGAGGGGTGATGGGGTAGTGGTGCTGACGGCCGTTGGGCTGGTAGATGGGGGGGCGGGTCGGGTGTTGTCTGTCCTCACCGTTTGGTCGAGGGTACTGGTCGACCCTGGCGCCCCCACTGCCCCCCGTCCGTCCCGCTAAGTTATCCATCCAGTTCTGTCTGCCGGGCATCAGTCCTCCGTCACGGCCAGGCTCGCCCAAGGAGATGGGTGTACCCCTGTGGCCCCCCTCGGGACGCCCTCGACCTCTGTAAATGTTGCCGTTCTGGTTGTTGCCGAAGACGTCACCGTTGTTACGTTCAGACCCCACACTCAGTCCTCCCCCTCGGTTGCGAGTATTCCACAGCACCGGGCCGGTATCCTTCCGGTCATCTCCCCCGGGCATCCGTCGTTCGCTCCCTCCGATGCTGATCCCTGCCCTCCCTCGGTCGCCTCTCCCGATGGTGATGCCGGGCCCCCTTCCTCGCTCCCTGCCCCCCACACTCAGGCCGTTCCTGTTTCGTCCACCGTCACCGTTCCTGCTCCTGCCGCCGTTGACCCGAGAGCCGCCCACATTATGGCTGGGCCACAAGGTTTCATCTTCCTCAGTTGGGAAACGGAGACCAGTGTTGCCGCTTCCAAGGCCATTAATGATCCGGGTACGTCCGTCTTGCCCCGTCGGGAGGGGACCTTCTCCATTTATGCTGCCGAAGGGAATGCCCAGTCCCCCCACGCCGTGTCCTCGCTCTATGGCTATCCCCGGCCGCCGCCAGAGGGAGCGGTCGTGAGTGTAGGTCTCGGAGGGTCGTGGGTCCTGGGGACTGTAGCGGATGTCACCATAGTTGGTGGGGCGCCTGTAGTCTGTGTCGGGCGAGGGGTGGGCGTAGGGCTGGCGGGGCGCGGGCGTGGTGTGGGCGGGGGTCATCTTACGGAAGGTCTCGTCCAAATTCTCGCTGACGCCGCTGTTGATCTCCTCGTGAAGCTGCAGGTGACTCTCAACTGTGGGGGAAGGAGAGCGTGAGTCACCCTACACACACACACACACACACACACACACACACACATCACTGTACGGTAATTTTTGCCTGTTATCGATGACCGCCACTTACGAGCCATCCTCGAGAGGAGAGAGAGAGAAACCAAAACATTAAAAAATGTTCTATAACTCAAATATTTAAACAGTTCCCTGTACCTCTCATCTCTATATCTACTAGAGAACTCAGACGATTTCTAAAAAAAAAAACAATTGAAACTTTAGAGAACGTATAATGAACTGTAAGAACATTGAGAACACTGAAGAAGGCCTAGTGAACGCCAGGTAGATACTTACTGACGCAGGGGTTTGACCATAAGAGCTTCTGCCAGGTGTAGCAGTCGTGTTGGTGGAGGAAGTCCGTCCCTTTACACACACAGGTGGCGTGAAGCTCTGTACCTAAGATATTCATAACAGCTTTTTGGCAGTTGCGGTGAGTCCCTGAACATCTTCCTGTCATGGCGTCTGCTGCACATTTCTGCTCGTATTCTTGAAGTTTTCCGCTGTGTAAGAGAGAGAGAATTGTTGTAGTAGTGGTGGTGATAGTGGTGGTGATAGTGGTGATGGTGGTGGTGGTAGTGGTGGTGATAGTGGTGGTAGTGGTGGTGGTAGTGGTGGTCATAGTGGTGGTGGTGGTGGTGGTAGTACTGGTAGTGGTGGTGGTAATGGTAGTTGTGGTGGTGATAGTCTCTCATATTCTCCACACAGCCTCTCTCTCACTGTCTCTCTCTCTCTCTCTCTCTCTCACTGTCTCTCTCACACCCCAAGAGCTTAAATAAAGGCGATAAGGAGAGGAAAGGTGAGAACCGTCTCCCGGAGCCTCTTTATTGCTACTTAGGAGAGTGGCTGGGAGACCTGATGACCGGGGGAGAGGGAAGGGAGAGGGAGGGGAGAGGGAGAGGGAGTGGGGGTGAGAAATAGAGGGAGAGGGAGAAGAAAGTCTGTTAAAGTAAGGGAGAAAGAGAGAGGAAAAGAAAGGGGAAGAGGGAGAGGATAAGAGAGAGAGAGAGAGAGAGAGAGAGAGAGAGAGAGAGAGAGAGAGAGAGAGAGAGGAGGAGAGGAATTGAGAGAAGAAAAGAGAAGAGAAAAAGACGCGCAAAGAGAGAAAAATGCGGAGAAAGGGGGAGAGATATATGAGGGAAGGGTGAAAGAAGGGATGATAAAGGAAGGGTGTGGCAAGAATAAGAGGGTAAGGGAGATAAGAACGAGAGAAGAATGAAGGGAGAGAAAGAGTGGGAAGAGAATGATAATGAGAACAAAGGGATAATACTTATTACCTCAAACGTTCATAACTCATATATAAACTACCTCTTAAAAATAGCCTTGTTTACATAGAATCAAATAAACAAATAAACAAATGAACACTACCATCCAAGGTAAACAGAGACCAAACAAAAAACAAACAAACTCTTCTGGTAGACAAAAAAAAAATCGAAAAGTCAACAGAAATCACTGTGTACACAAAACAGGTATAAAAGTTTACCTTCAGATAAAAGTCTTTTTTTAATTGGTGTGTGAGTGTGTTGTTGTTGTTGTTGTTGTTGTTGTTGGGGGGTGAGGTAGGCAGAAGGGGGGTCAGATGTGTATTTTGGGGGGAAGTTTTTATGTGTGAATCATGTATATCTTTGTATAATGTGTATGTGTGAATAATGTATATACTTGTATAATGTGTATAATGTATTTACTTTCGTATTTCGTTCTTTTGTTTACACTGAATCCGGATTTGTCTCTCAGAACTGGGCAAGAATCAAGATTTGTCTCTCAGAACAGGGCAAGAATCAAGATTTGTCTCTCAGAACAGGGCAAGAATCAAGATTTGTCTCTCAGAACAGGGCAAGAATCCGGATTTGTCTCTCAGAACAGGTCAAGCAAGAATCAAGAATCCGGATTTGTCTCTCAGAACAGGTCAAGAATCAAGATTTGTCTCTCATAACAGGTCAAGAATCCGGATTTGTCTCTCAGAACAGGTCAAGAATCAAGATTTGTCTCTCAGAACAGGGCAAGAATCCGGATTTGTCTCTCATAACAGGTCAAGAATCCGGATTTGTCTCTCATAACAGGTGAAGAATCAAGATTTGTCTCTCAGAACAGCGCAAGAATCCGGATTTGTCTCTCATAACAGGTCAAGAATCAAGATTTGTCTCTCATAACAGGTCAAGAATCCGGATTTGTCTCTCAGAACAGGTGAAGAATCAAGATTTGTCTCTCAGAACAGGGCAAGAATCCGGATTTGTCTCTCATAACAGGTCAAGAATCAAGATTTGTCTCTCATAACAGGTCAAGAATCCGGATTTGTCTCTCAGAACAGGTCAAGAATCCGGATTTGTCTCTCAGAACAGGGCAAGAATCCGGATTTGTCTCTCATAACAGGTCAAGAATCAAGATTTGTCTCTCATAACAGGTCAAGAATCCGGATTTGTCTCTCATAACAGGTCAAGAATCAAGATTTGTCTCTCATAACAGGTCAAGAATCCGGATTTGTCTCTCTGAACAGGTCAAGAATCCGGATTTGTCTCTCATAACAGGTCAAGAATCCGGATTTATCTCTCAGAACAGGGCAAGAATCCGGATTTGTCTCTCATAACAGGTCAAGAATCAAGATTTGTCTCTCATAACAGGTCAAGAATCCGGATTTGTCTCTCATAACAGGTGAAGAATCAAGATTTGTCTCTCAGAACAGGGCAAGAATCAAGATTTGTCTCTCATAACAGGTCAAGAATCCTGATTTATCTCTCAGAACAGGGCAAGAATCCGGATTTGTCTCTCATAACAGGTCAAGAATCCGGATTTATCTCTCAGAACAGGGCAAGAATCCGGATTTGTCTCTCATAACAGGTCAAGAATCAAGATTTGTCTCTCAGAACAGGTCAAGAATCAAGATTTGTCTCTCAGAACAGGTCAAGAATCCGGATTTGTCTCTCAGAACAGGGCAAGAATCAAGATTTGTCTCTCAGAATAGGTCAAGAATCAAGATTTGTCTCTCAGAACAGGGCAAGAATAAAGATTTGTCTCTCAGAACAGGGCAAGAATCAAGATTTGTCTCTCAGAACAGGTCAAGAATCCGGCCGCAGTATCAACAAATGGCTCACCACATCCCCACTTAGATAAATATACAGTTTTTAAGAAGGCGTTTCCATCCTTGTTCTAAGACGTGTCCAAGTATTTGTAAGGAGAATGTGTGTGTTACAGCGTGTTGACTGTGGGGCAAGGTGAAGTAGTGATGGTAGTGATTGTGGTTGTGGTGGTAGTGGTCAGGTCCTGCTGTCAAATTATAATACCACACCATCAATACCCCTCCCCCACTATAACCACCCCCTCACCCCCAACACACCTCCCCCCCCCACTGCCACCCTTCCTCCAACACCCCACTCCATTACCACCACCACTTTCCCCAATTCGCCTCCCCACCACCACCACCAACACCCCCTCCACCACCACCACCACCACCCACTACCGCCTCCACACTCTAGTTAACATTCCTCCCTCACCTGTGTACCAATGTCGTGTCGTGAGCAATTTACTGTATTGCTCAAAATTATCTCCAGAGAAAAGTGTTCGTGGTTGGTTGAGTTAAGTGAGGTGGCAACACAACCCCACCCCACCCCACCTCAGCCACCCCCACCCCACCCCACCCCACCCCACCCCTCACTAAGGTCTGAGGCCATATTATATTGTCTGGGGATATATTGTGTAGCTTTATACTCGTTCTCCCTGGGCTATATTGTACTAAGTTATATTATGTAACACAATATACCTGCACGTAACACACACCTGTACGTAATATAACACACACCTGCATCTCATACCTGCTCACTAATCGTCATAATTGGCAATACTACACCACCTGTTGAGGCTCTGACGAGAGAGAGAGAGAGAGAGAGAGAGAGAGAGAGAGAGAGAGAGAGAGAGAGAGAGAGAGAGAGAGAGAGAGAGAGAGAGAGAGAGCAATAAATAAGGTTATACAGGAGTGCCAAGGAGGTCATAAGTAAAGTGAGAGCCAACACATGTAATTAACTGCACCTGGCCTTCTATCTCTATCTCCTATCCTCTTTGTTTTTCTTTATTCTCTCACTATCAGACTCTATCTCGCGTGACCTGTGGTAAGGGACACATCGACCTTACGTGTCAAGGAACAGCTAAACACAGTGATTTACGGTTCGAGGTCAAGCCGGTGTCGTGACCTTGTAATGACCTCCGGTAAGTGCGGTCGACAGGTGACGGCTCCATCAATCACTTCCGGTTATAACCAATTACTTCCGTTTTCAATAATTATTCAAGTATTCTACGATGATGATGATGATGATGATGATGATGATGATGATGATGATGATGATGATGATGATGATGATGATGGTGATGATGATGATGATGATGATGATGATGATGATGATGATGATGATGATGATGATGATGATGATGATGATGATGATGATGATGATGAACATAAATGACCTTACCTGTGTTAATATACATAATGTTAACACCTGTACATCATTATATGTGTATGAGTATGTCAAATATTCCTGTACGTCTGAATGTGTGTGTGTACAGTACAAGTGCGTGACAGCCACACACCTGGGCCTGGCGTGTGGCAACACAAACACAATTATAAATGTTTTGTTTTTAGTCAAATTTATTCCTTTTATTACGACTATTTTCTAAAACATGATAACAAATGATTTTGTGAACCAATAATTTGTCGTGATGATGGTAGTAGTAGTAGTAGTAGTAGGGAAGTGGTAATAGTAGTAGTAGTAGTAGTAGTAGTAGTAGTAGTAGTAGTAGTAGTAGTAGTAGTAGTAGTAGTACGGAGGTGGTAGTAGTATAAGTAGTAGTAGTAGTAGTAGTAGGTTAAGTGTGTCATTAACGATAAGTGTCAGGTCAAGGCATTAAGTGGGTGATTAACTCACTTGGTGTGTAGTGCCTCGACCTAAGTACACTTAGCACACTTTAGATGTAAGTGACAAGGAGAGAGAGAGAGAGAGAGAGAGAGAGAGAGAGAGAGAGAGAGAGAGAGGGGGGAGAGAAGAAGTAAATTAGCATGTGTGTTTGTAGTAACATCAGTACTAGTGGGCGTGGAGAGGGGTTAGTGGGGGTAGTGGGCGAGGAGGGGTTAGTGGGGGAGGGGAGGAAGGGGTGGTGGTGGTGAAGGATTTTGAGGCGGAATTTCAGATTGTGTGGTATTTCAATCAACAGACGCTACCACCTCGTGAGATGAATTTAACCACCACCGACCACCCATACCACCCACCCACACCCCCCACCGACCACCCATACCACCACCCACACCCCCACCGACCACCCATACCACACCCACACCCCACCGACCACCCCATACCACCCACTATACCACCACCCACACCCCCCCCACACCCCACCCACCCCAACCCACACCCCACCCACCACCCACACCCCAACCACACCCCACCACCCCAACCCAACCACACCCCACCACCCACACCACCCCACACCCCACACCACCACACCACCACCCCACCAGACCACACCACCCAACCTCACCGACCACCCATACCACCTCCCACACCCCACCACCCACATCCCCACCACTCACCCATACCACTCCCACATCCCCACCACCCACACCATCACTCCATACCCACCACCCACACATAGCCACAGAGCCAGCCTTCCAACACCTCCGCCAGCAAAACACAAGTAGAATGATCCTTTCCAGATTAAGTCAAGATGTTGCTGCCTGCTTTTGGGAGAGGAAGAGGAGGAAGAGGAGGAAGAGGAAGAGGAGGAGGAGAAAGAGGAGGAGGAGGAAGAATGAGATTTTGGTGATTTCCAAGACAATAGAGGGAAGACATATTTAAAATGCGTAGTTTAGAAGGAGGGGAGGAGAGGGGAGGGTAGGGAGAGGGGGTGAGGTAGAAGAGGGGGTGGGAGGGGTAGAGGGGAAGGGAGGTAGGAGAAGGGGAGAGAAGAGGAGAGGCCATTTTTCATTTAATTTTGGAATTTTTGAGGGGCGATGAAAGTGAGTGATAGAGGAGGGTAGAGATGAGGGAAAGGAAGGGAGGGGGAGGAAGCGAGGGGGAAGGGGAGGAGGGAGGGATGGAGGAAGGAAGGGAGGGGGAGAGAAGGAGGGGAGGGAAGGGGAAGGGAGGGGAGAGGAAGGAGAGGGGGGGGGATGGAGGAAGGAAGGGAGGGGAGAGAAGGGGAGGGGGGGAAGGGAAGGGGAGGGGTGGAGGAAGGAAGGGGAGGGGGAGAGAAGGAGGGGGGGGAAGGGGAAGGAGGGGAGAGGGAGGGGGGAAGGGGAAGGAGGAGGGATGGAGGAAGGAAGGGAGGGGGGAGAGAAGGGAGGGGGGGAAGGGAAGGAGGAGGGATGGAGGGAAGGAAGGAGGGGAGAGAGAAAGGAGGGGGGAGGGAAGGGGAAGGAGGGGGGGGAGAGAAGTGAGGGGGGGAAGGGGAGGGAGGGAGGGATGGAGGAAGGAAGGGAGGGGGAGAAAGGAGGGGGGAAGGGGAAGGAGGGGGAGAGAAGGAGGGGGAGGGAAGGGGAAGGGAGGGAGGATGGAGGAAGGAAAGGAGGGGAGAGGAAGGAGGGGGGGAAGGGGAAGGGAGGGAGGGATGGAGGAAGGAAGGGAGGGGGGGAGAAGCGAGGGGGTGGGAAGGGGAAGGGAGGGGAGAGAAGGGAGAGGGGGGATGGAGGAAGGAAAGGAGGGGGAGAAGGGAGAGAGGGGGGAGGGGAAGGAGGGAGGGATGGAGGAAGGAAGGAGGAGGGAGGGGATGGAATTTTGAGTTAATTGAGGAAGAATTAATTGATTTTTAGAATTTCAGGACGTTTTTGTTTCTGTTCAAGTAAATGTGTTCATTTTAAGGGGGTGGGGAGGAGAAGGGAGAGGAGGGGCAGGAGGGGAGAGGAGGGGCAGGAGGAGAGGGAGGGCAGGGGAGGGGAGAGGGAGGGGCAGGAGGGGAGAGGGGAGGGGCAGGAGGGGAGAGGGAGGCAGGAGGGGAGAGGAGGGCAGAGGAGGGGAGAGGAGGGCAGGAGGAGGAGAGAGAGGAGGAGGAGAGGAGGGGCAGGAGGAGGAGAGGAGGGCAGGAGGGGAGAGGAGGGGGCAGGAGGAGGGAGAGGAGGGGCAGGAGGAGGGGGCAGGAGGAGGGGAGAGGAGGAGAGGAGGGGCAAGAGGAGGAGAAGAGGGGGTGCATAAGGGGAGAGACTATCTATCTATGTATCTACACACCTGAGAGAGACACAGGTGGCACTGGCACTCACCTACACACACGGTTCTGGCGGCACTGCTCAGCGATCTTGTGGCACTTCATAGGATCTCTGCCAGCGTGTCTCAGCACAGGTCGGGTGGAGCTTCCTCATCGCCGTGAGACACTCGCCATCTGGGTCACTTTGCCTGCGGGAGAGATAGTGAGAGACAGTGAGAGATAATGAGAGATAGTAAGAGACAGTGAGAGATAATGAGAGATAGTGAGAGACAGTGAGAGATAATGAGATAGTGAGAGACAGTGAGAGATAATGAGAGATAGTATATAGTTGTTGGTTGTGGTGAGATATTATTGGGAAGGATTGAGACACACACACACACACACACACACACACACACACACACACACACACACACACACACACACACACACACACACGGTACAAAGAATCCGATACACACCGAATTTTCGCACATGTGTACACTGGGTGGCTGAGTGTGTACATAAAACACGCCTTTAGGATAACCCGTCTGACTTTACTCTTCTTTCATTTGGCTCGATTCACCACTTACCTGCACGCCCATGAACTCACCTGGGATTACGTTACGTTAGGTGAAAGATTGGTGAAAGTTAGGTGAAAGATTGGTGAAAGTTAGGTGAAAGATTGGTGAAAGTTAGGTGAAAGATTGGTGAAAGTTAGGGGTGAAAGATTGGTGAAAGTTAGGTGAAAGTGAAAGTTGGTGATTGGGTGAAAGATTGGGTGAAAAAAAGATTTGAAAGTTAGTAAGGGTGAAAGTTGAAAGAAAGATTGGTGAAAGTTAGGTGAAAGATTGGTGAAAGTTAGGTGAAAGATTGGTGAAAGTTAGGTGAAAGATTGGTGAAAGTTAGGTGAAAGATTGGTGAAAGTTAGGTGAAAGATTGGTGAAAGTTAGGTGAAAGATTGGTGAAAGTTAGGAGACAATTCAATGAAAATAAGCGAATCTCAATCCGAGTGAAAGTAGGAATTTTTTGGCATTGAGGAGAAAGTGGGAATGTCCTGGAATTTCACTCTGGGTGGTAAAGCATTATCATGACTCAAACTGTCATTAGGAACTGCATTTGAGGGGATAATGCCTAACCCTTGAGTACGATGACTTAACCCTTGAGTACGATGACTTAACCCTTGAGTACGATGACTTAACCCTTGAGTACGATGACTTAACCTTGAGTACGATGACTTAACCCTTGAGTACGATGAAACCCTTGAGTACGATGACTTAACCTCGAGTACGATGACTTAGCCCCTTGAGTACGATGACTTAACCCTCGAGTACGATGACTTAACCCTTGAGTACGATGACTTAACCTCGAGTACGATGACTTAACCTCGAGTACGATGACTTAACCCCTGAGTACGATGACTTAACCCTGAGTACGATGACTTAACTCGAGTACGATGACTTAACCCTTGGAGTACGATGACTTAACCCTTGAGTACGATGACTTAACCCTCGAGTACGATGACTTAGCCTCGAGTACGATGACTTAACCCTTGAGTACGATGACTTAACCTCGAGTACGATGACTTAGCCCCTTGAGTACGATGACTTAACCCCTTGAGTACGATGACTTAACCTCGAGTACGATGACTTAACCCCTTGAGTACGATGACTTAACCCCGAGTACGATGACTTAGCCCCTTGAGTACGATGACTTAACCCTTGAGTACGATGACTTAACCCTCGAGTACGATGACTTAACCCTTGAGTACGATGACTTAACCCTTGAGTACGATGACTTAACCTCGAGTACGATGACTTAGCCCCTTGGAGTACGATGACTTAACCTCGAGTACGATGACTTAACCCTGAGTACGATGACTTAACCCTCGAGTACGATGACTTAGCCCTTGAGTACGATGACTTAACCCTCGAGTACGATGACTTAACCCCTTGAGTACGATGACTTAACCCCTGAGTACGATGACTTAACCCTGAGTACGATGACTTAACCCTTGAGTACGATGACTTAACCCTTGAGTACGATGACTTAACCTCGAGTACGATGACTTAACCCTTGAGTACGATGACTTAACCCTTGAGTACGATGACTTAACCCCTTGAGTACGATGACTTAACCCTGAGTACGATGACTTAACCTCGAGTACGGTGACTTAACCTTGAGTACGATGACTTAACCCTTGGAGTACGATGACTTAACCTCGAGTACGATGACTGCACCTTGAGTACGATGACTTAACCCTTGAGTACGATGACTAACCCTTGAGTACGATGACTTAACCCTTGAGTACGATGACTTAACCCTCGAGTACGATGACTTAGCCCTTGAGTACGATGACTTAACCCTTGAGTACGATGACTTAACCCTCGAGTACGATGACTAGCCCCTTGAGTACGATGACTTAACCCTTGAGTACGATGACTTAGCCCCTTGAGTACGATGACTTAACCCCTTGAGTACGATGACTTAACCCTCGAGTACGATGACTTAGCCCCTTGAGTACGATGACTTAACCTTGAGTACGATGACTTAGCCCCTGAGTACGATGACTTAACCCTTGAGTACGATGACTTAGCCCCTTGAGTACGATGACTTAACCCTTGAGTACGATGACTTAACCCTTGAGTGCGATGATTGAATTCCTTGAGTACGAACATCTGAACCTTGTCAATACGATGACTTCTACCCTCGAGTACGAAGAAGTAGTACTCGTGGGGTAAAGTGAAGTCGTACTCGAGAATCTCAAAGGCTTGGCGAGGTTAAGTTTGGTTCAATCATACGGCAAATGTTCTGAGATTTTCGTGTGTGTCGGTCTAGAGTTTGCATTTATTGGGTGTCTGTCTGTCTGTCTGTCTATCTGTCTGTCTGTCTGTCTGTCTGTCTGTCTATCTGTCTTTCACTGTCTGTCTGTCTGTCTGTCTATTTGTCTTTCACTGTCTATCTGTCTGTTTGTCTGTCTCTCTTTTATTTCCTGTCTTGTCTCTTTCTCTCCCCATCTTCTTTTCTCTCTCCCTTTCTTTTCCTTCCCACCTCCCTTCTTTCTTCCCTTCTTCTCGCCCTTCCCCTCCTATCCTTCCTTATTTCCTCCTCCCCTTCCTCCCCTCCCTTTGTTCTCCCTTCTTCCTCCCCTCTCCTCCTCCATACCCTTTCCTTCCTCCCTTCCTTCACCTCTTCCTCCCTTCTCCCTCCCTACCTCTCCTCCTTCCTTCCTCCCTCCCTTTATCTCTTCCTCCCTTCCCATCCGCTCTCCATGCTTTCATCTCTTCCTCCTTCTCTCCTTCACCCTCCTCCGTCTCCACCTCCCTTTTTACCCTACCTCTGATTAGCCACTGTGTACACCTGAGGTCTACCTGTAATTATCACGGCTTCTTCACCTCCCTGGTAATTAAATTTAAAATTACAGGTGACGGTCTAACTGTTTTCGTTATCCTGTGTAAAAACCTGACAATTTTAGACGGAAGGTGTAAAAACCTGACAATTTTAGACGGAAGGTGTAAAACCTGACAATTTTAGACGGAAGGTGTAAAAACCTGAAAATTTTAGACGGAAGGTGTACAAACCCGACAATTTTAGACGGAAGGTGTAAAAACCTGACAATTTTAGACGGAAGGTATAAAAACCTGACAATTTTAGACGGAAGGTGTAAAAACCTGACAATTTAGAGGAAGTAAAGACAATTTAGACGGAAGGTAAAACCTGACAATTTTGAGGAAGGTAAAACCTGACAATTTTGACGGAAGGTAAAAACAAAATTTTAGACGGAAGGTGTAAAAACCTAATAATTTAGACGGAAGGTGTAAAAAACCTGACAATTTTAGACGGAAGGTGTAAAAACCGACAATTTTAGACGAAGGTGTAAAAACCGACAATTTTAGACGGAAGGTGTAAAATAATAGAATATATTCGACAGAGGAAAAGAGAGAGAGAGAGAAAGACAGCATGAAGACAGACATATACAGACAGAGAAACAGAAAGAGACGAAAATACACAAACAGATAATCAACGCAGTTAATTTACCTTAAGTAATTAACTGCGTACCTGTTGATCAAGTCATTTAATATAACACAACAGAGCCATTATAGAGTCACTAGCAGAGCCATTATAGAGTCACTAACAGAGCCATTATAGAGTCACTAACAGAGCCATTATAGAGTCACTAGCAGAGCCATTATAGAGTCACTAACAGAGCCATTATAGAGTCACTAGCAGAGCCATTTATAGAGTCACTACAGAGCCATTATAGAGTCACTAGCAGAGCCATTATAGAGTCACTAGCAGAGCCATTATAGAGTCACTAGCAGAGCCATTATAGAGTCACTAACAGAGCCATTATAGAGTCACTACAGAGCCATTATAGAGTCACTAACAGAGCCATTATAGAGTCACTAACAGAGCCATTATAGAGTCACTAGCAGAGCCATTATAGAGTCACTAAGCATTATAGAGTCACTAACAGAGCCATTATAGAGTCACTAACAGAGCCATTATATAGAGTCACTAACAGAGCCATTATAGAGTCACTAGCAGAGCCATTATAGTCACTAGCAGAGCCATTATAGAGTCACTAGCAGAGCCATTATAGAGTCAGTAACAGAGCCATTATAGAGTCACTAGCAGAGCCATTATAGAGTCACTAGCAGAGCCATTATAGAGTCACTAGCAGAGCCATATTATAGTCACTAACAGAGCCATTATAGGTCACTAACAGAGCCATTATAGAGTCACTAACAGAGCCATTATAGAGTCACTAACAGAGCCATTATAGAGTCACTAACAGAGCCATTATAGAGTCACTAGCAGAGCCATTATAGAGTCACTAACAGAGCCATTATAGAGTCACAGAGTTATAGAGTCACTAGCAGAGCCATTATAAGTCACTACAGAGCCATTATAGAGTCACTAGCAGAGCCATTATAGAGTCACTAGCAGAGCCATTATAGAGTCACTAGCAGAGCCATTATAGAGTCACTAGCAGAGCCATTATAGAGTCACTAGCAGAGCCATTATAGAGTCACTAACAGAGCCATTATAGAGTCACTAACAGAGCCATTATAGAGTCACTAGCAGCCATAGAGTCACTAGCAGAGCCATTATAGAGTCACTAGCAGAGCCATTATAGAGTCACTAGCAGAGCCATTATAGAGTCACCACAGACATTATAGAGTCACTAACAGAGCCATTATAGAGTCACTAACAGAGCCATTATAGAGTCACCAGAGCCATTATAGAGTCAACAACATTATAGAGTCAGGCATTATAGAGTCACTAACAGAGCCATAGAGTCACTAACAGAGCCATTATAGAGTCACTAACAGAGCCATTATAGAGTCACTAGCAGAGCCATTATAGAGTCACTAGCAGAGCCATTATAGAGTCACCATGTTCATTATAGAGTCACTAGCAGAGCCATTATAGAGTCACTAGCAGAGCCATTATAGTTACTAGCAGAGCCATTATAGAGTCACTAGCAGAGCCATTATAGAGTCACTAGCAGAGCCATAGAGTCACTAACAGAGCCATTATAGAGTCACTAACAGAGCCATTATAGAGTCACTAGCAGAGCCATAGAGTCACTAACAGAGCCATTATAGAGTCACACAGAGCCATTATAGAGTCACTAGCAGGCATTATAGACATATAGATATAGAGTCACTAACAGAGACATTATAGAGTCACTAACAGACCCATTATAGAGGTCACTACCAGAGCCATTATAGAGTCACTAACAGAGCCATAGAGAGTCACTAACAGAGCCATTATAGAGTCACTAACAGAGCCATTATAGAGTCACTAGCAGAGCCATTATAGAGTCACTAACAGAGCCATTATAGAGTCACTAGCAGACATGGTAGAGTCACTAGCAGAGCCATTATAGAGTCACTAGCAGAGCCATTATAGTCACTAGCAGAGCCATTATAGAGTCACTAGCAGAGCCATTATAGAGTCACTAGCAGAGACATTATAGAGTCACTAGCAGAGACATTATAGAGTCACTAGCAGAGCCATTATAGAGTCACTAACAGACATTATAGTCACTAGCAGAGCCATTATAGAGTCACTAACAGAGCCATTATAGAGTCACTAAAGAGCCATTATAGAGTCACTAACAGAGCCATTATAGAGTCACTAGCAGAGCCATTATAGAGTCACTAACAGAGCCATTATAGTCACTAACAGAGCCATTATAGAGTCACTAACAGAGCCATTATAGAGTCACTAGCAGAGCCATTATAGTCACTAACAGAGCCATTAGGTCACTAACAGAGCCATTATAAGTCACTAACAGAGCCATTATAGAGTCAGTACCAGAGCCATTATAGAGTCACTAACAGAGCCATTATAGAGTCACTAGCAGAGCCATTATAGAGTCACTAACAGAGCCATTATAGAGTCACTAGCAGAGCCATTATAGAGTCACTACCAGAGCCATTATAGAGTCACTAGCAGAGCCAATAGAGTCACTACCAGAGCCATAGGTCACTCAGAGCCATTATAGTCACTAACAGAGCCATTATAGAGTCACTAACAGAGCCATTATAGAGTCACTAGCAGAGCCATTATAGAGTCACTACCAGAGCCTATGAAGTCACTAACAGAGCCATTATAGAGTCACTAGCAGAGCCATTATAGAGTCACTACCAGAGCCATTATAGTCACTAACAGAGCCATTATAGAGTCACTAACAGAGCCATTATAGAGTCACTAACAGAGCCATCATTAACTACGTGACCACAGAGTAAATGACCTAGTGGGGGAGGTCATTTATCTTCAGCTTGACCTCTTAATGACCCTTGATACATATGCCTTAATTACTATAATTATCTACCTCTACAAAAACTACTGCCTCTCTCTCTCTCTCTCTCTCTCTCTCACTTCGTCTCTCTCTTCTCACTTCACTATCTTTCTTGTGGTCTTCTTTATCCCTGCTATGTTTCTTGCTTGTATGTATATGTGTGTATGTATGTATGTATGTATGTATGTATGTATATGTATGTATGTATGTATGTATGTATGTATTATTTTTTGTATATTCTAATTAATTTCTTTACTCTCTCCTTCGTTTCTTCCTCCATCTTCCTATAACCTCTTCCTCTTCCTCCTTCCTCCTCTTCCTTCCTCCCTTTCCTTCCTCCTCTTCCTCTTCCATCAGGTAAATGGAAGAGGGTCATCTTCTCTCCTCCTCCTCCTCCGTCAGGTAGGTGAAGGAGGAGGAGGAGGTAATAATAATATTCCGGATCAATACAACAGAACCCCCCCTCCCTCCTCCCTCCCCCCTCCCCCCCCTCCTCCCCAAGCCCTATACTGTGCCGCTGTTGGTCATCTGCCACCACCCACACACCCTCTCTCTCACTCTCTGTCTGTCTGTCTGTCTGTCTGTCTGTCTGTCTGTCTGTCTGTCTGTCTGTCTGTCTGTCTGTCTGTCTGTCTGTCTGTCTGTCTCTTCCTTGTTTTAATTACTATATTCTATCACTGTTCCTCTCTACATATCTCACTTCGTCTCTCTCTTTCTCTTTCTCTTTATTTCTCTCTTTTCCTATTCTTTCTCTTTTCTCTTTTTATTTCATTTTCTCTCTTTCTTATCTTCTCTCTTTTCCCATTCATTTTTCCCCTCTTTCTCCACTTCGTCTTTCTCTCTCTCTTTCCTCCTATTCTTCTTTCTCCTTCTCCTCTCTCTCTCTCCTCATCGCCTTAATCCCTCTTCGTAAATCATCATTATCATCATTATCATCATTATCATCATCATCATCATCATCATCATCATCATCATCATCATCATCATCATCATCAATATCATCACCATTAATATCACCACCACCATCAAAACAGTGCTATCCCACGTCAAAAGTTATGAGCACTAATGGATTGAAATCCCCCTTCATGCACGATGGTTAAGACGCCCTTACCGACATCTCCTCTCATTATACTTGCAAATGTTACCACATAAAAATCAAGAGCGAGTGAAAAAGTTTATAGCGAGATGGTGTACTAAGATGAGGTGTCTCGCTGATTGTGGATATGGTAATACATGGTGCGTTTTACTCCCCAGGCGAGATGAAAGCCTTAGTTGGTACCGCTGGAGCAGGAGGAGAGAGGCAGGAAGGTTTGGATCTAGTGTTTTGTTGTATTAACGATTGAAGGAATTAGTGTATATACATATAGATATATATGCTGATAACCACAAGGAAAGAAAACACACGAAGTTCCCAAGCCTTTCGTGTAATTCACATCTTCAGGGGTGAGTACAGACTTGCATTATATATATGTACACACACAGACACACACACACAGACACACACAGACACACACACACAGACACACAGACACACACACAGAGGAAAGTAATAATGGTATCTATGATCAAGTCTTATACAGGTGCCAAGTCTCAGTACATACACACCTCTTGCATAACAGTGACACAGGGTAGTACAGATGTCACTGTGTTATATAACGAGGTACAGTGCCACTTTTGATCTGTAAGTAATGATTTAAGTATTAAGTATCAAGATAGACTTTACTATTTGATTTGTAAGTGGTAAGTGTGTTTGTTAAGTGGGCTGTGTTAGGGGGCAGGATCGAATGCCACTTTTAATATGTAAGTGCAGAGGCGAGTTGAGTGGGGGGTGTTTGACGGAGCTCAGGTAAAGATATTGTTTGATTTATGAGTGGAAATGAGTTACCTTCACTAATACCTGTAACACTCACCTGTACTACCTCTAACACCCACTGTACTAGCTGTACTACCTGTATCACCCACTATACCACCTGTAACACCCACTATACCACCTGCAACACCCACTATACTACCTGCAACACCCACTGTACCACCTGCAACACCCACCTGCAGACACAGAAGGCCACCTGTAGCCTCCTAGGGCTCACTTTCTGGTAGAAGTCCTGGAGGGCGGTGCGGCATCGGTCCGGTTCACAGTGTGTATGTTCACACCAAACCATCACTCCCTGCAGCATGG